CATGAAGTGGCATTTTTTTTGCCTCTAGGGATGTTTGTCTCTCTAATCATAGATGCCGGCAAATAAATTTAATGAGAAGTTGTTGTCATGGCTATCTAAATCATGTCTGTTACGAGTTGGAACAGCTGAAAACTGGATTAGTCTTCTTTTCGACTTTGAAAAGATTGATTCTGGTTTCCTTTTACTGCAAAACCACAAACTGTTGGTTTTCTTTGGTCAGAACATGAGCAGCTTCTTCATTGTGCTCTGAAATGCATTAACATTAGTTTACAGAATTTGAATCTACAAGCTCTACATGATTTCGAATATATATGCCTGTCTTTGTCTTTCTGAGATTTAATGCCAGTTTTGAAGTTGCATTCTCTTTTTCCCTCAGCTATGACACACTAAGATGTTTCTCCTGGTCTCATCTAGACATCAAGAAAATATGCTTGTCAATGCTTCCAGATCCCTGTACTATCATTCAATTTACAATCTCCTGTTTGGTCCTTAGAGACTCTGCATATTGTTCCGTTGCTACTTGTTTGGAAACTTTTAACACATCCTCTCAGACTGCCTTGTTCAGTAACAGTCTGCTGTATCTAATCCTTTAATTACAGTTGACAGACTTTGGGCTTTCAAGGGTTGGGCTTATCGATAGCACCGACGACTTCTCAGGTCCACCAGCTTGTAATGCAGTATTTTTTAATGATGATGAGCCAAAATGCCCACATTCAATTAAACGAGAACAGAGGAAGAAACACTCGGTAGTTGGAACACCGGATTATCTAGCTCCAGAGATTCTTTTAGGCATGGGACACGGTATGAGATTATAACTGACTGGTTCAGAATGTATGTCACCAAGTGGGGAAAATTTAATTATTCCTTTGCAAAATTTTCTGTTTATCCAGGTGCAACTGCAGATTGGTGGTCCGTCGGGGTCATTCTTTTTGAGATGCTTGTGGGAATACCACCATTCAATGCAGAACATCCACAAGTATGCTACTAGGCTAAAGGCTTTAGGGAAATCGATGGTTTTGGACTTTGTTTCTTTTGGTATTTCTGTCCAATCCATATGCTGCTGCACAGATCCATCAAGATAATAATTATCAATGCTTTTATTCCCAAGGCATAAGGAAGGAGGGTGATATTTTAATGTTCTTGGATCATGTCCCTTTGATTATTGAGGAACTTCAAATGAATTCGGTAGCTGGTGAGCTGAAGTTGTTATATGGATAGTACATGTGGAATGCTGTAATTGCTTCCGTATAGGCTTTATAACTAAGTTTGTGGATTGCCTCTTAAAGAGAAAGAGTTTGTGAGTTAAGAATATATCTCCATTGCTGCTGAGTCACTTGCATCATTACTTCTGTTTATGACAAGTTTTTAACCCTCTCATTACTTTGAAAACATTCACCTGCATTCATTTTAGTAGGCTTATCTTGTGTTTGTGGACAGTTTTACTGCATTTGTAAGTCATTCCATTTGACAACGTTGTTTACCTGGACATTCACTTTTCCAGTTGCTCTCTTGATTCTATGGTCTTTAAAGAGTAACAGCAATCTATTTTTTAATCATCCTGCTTTTGTTCATGCTTTGATTCTATATTTGGATGCTATTGTAATTACTTGACGTTGACAAACGTATAGTCAATAATTTTGCTCACGGCTTATTTTGTGTTGCAGAAAATTTTTGATAACATCATAAATAGAGACATACCTTGGCCGAAAGTCCCAGAGGAGATCAGTTTTGAAGCATACGATTTGATCAATAAGTAAGATTGCGCGATCCATGTTACAATTTGCTCCATGCTTCTTCTGCTTTTATCTGAAGTGTCAGTCAAATTTTCTTTTGTGAAAGGAAAAGGTCATTGTTTGGAGGGTATCCTGCTCACCATGTCTTCCAACCATTCGAGCACCAAATCTAGATGAGACCCTCCGTTTAAGGACTAAATCTTTAATTATCTCAGATGACTGTCTTCACCTCTATGAGACGGTCATTTCATATAGATTTCTCCCCCACCATGCGTCTAATTAACAAGTTGTGCTGGAATTAGTGTTGGATTTTAAATACTATTCTTTTGGTCCCTTTATTCAAAGTTGCCTTTAGACGCCCTAACTAATGAACTCCATTTTGGTCGCTTTTCAAACAGATATGGATTAGTCTGCATTGGCCATATTTCTACCTCAATGATCAACTGATTTAAGTTTTTAAAAAAATTTCAGATTGCTCATTGAAACTCCAGTTCAGAGACTAGGTGCAACTGGAGCCAGGGAGGTAGTCTTCAGAAACTGTTAATCTAAATTTTCCTTGTACTGCAGTTCTTGTGAGAGGGAACACTGAGTGAATCTGAAACTTTTTCGGCAGGTGAAGAAGCATCCCTTCTTCAAGGATATAAATTGGGATACACTTGCAAGGCAGAAGGTTTTTTCCCTATATCTTATGTACATCAAGAATTCCTAACATGTGGAGGAGTATCACGACTGTTCTTTTACTGCAGGCCATGTTCATACCATCAGCAGAGCCACAAGACACCAGTTATTTTATGAGTCGTTATATATGGAACCTAGAGAGTGAAGATGTTCAAGGAGGTAGTGACTTTGACGAAATGAACGACACCTGCAGCGAATCATGCAGCAGCAGCTCATTCAGTAACATGCCAGATGAAGATGTACTTCTGCTTTCATTTTCATGATATTCCTCTCTGAATCTGCGGAGGCCATCAGTCAATGCACCATAAAAAATTAGCCTAAATTTTCTTTTTGCCCACTAGAAGTAGAAACATAGCCTCATTTTACTCGGGACATTTTCTACTGAAGATATGACTTGGTATAGAGAGGTTTCAACCTGATCAAAGTGCACATGCCAATCCGCACCTGAATTTCTGTGCCAATTCAGTTTGAACTGAGTAAATGGTACTCAACAATATCAATCTAACCTGAAATAATTAGGATTAAACTGTATTACTAGTTTAGCTTCATTGCAAGGATCAAATGTGCAAGAATTGAAAATCAAATAATGTGTTGTTTTCTCTATTTCCCCTGAATATAATTCCACCGGCTTTGATTGTGCCTTTTGTTTTATGCTTGTAAATCAGGGAGACGAATGTGGAAGTTTGGCAGATTTCAAAAGTCCTGCTCTCGCCGTGCAGTACTCATTCAGCAACTTCTCTTTTAAGGTAAGATCTTAACAGTGCTGAAAAAATGTGCAACAGCTCAAGACATCACAAATGTTCGGAATATGCATTTTATGAATGTCAGCAGCAAAAAGGGGAAGTGATATTAATTCGACTTTAACATAAGTTTGCAATTGACAATCCTAAGTTGCTGGCATCAGGGTTTTAGGACTATCATCATCAATATCATTGATATTGTTATCATTGTACTACCTCGAGTTACTTTTTGTATTTATTTTAAATTAAGGCATAATATGGAATATGAACACTATCCAGCTAAAGCTAAAAAATGTTTTCCACATTGACAATTCATCCTTAAAGTTATATGTCTCCACCTGCAGAACTTGTCTCAGCTGGCTTCCATAAACTATGATTTGATGGTGAAGAATAATAAAGATGCGCCAGAAGTTCCCAAACCATGCATTCCTTAAAGCCCTCCTGGGAGAATTAAGGACTACATCAGAGCATGATTTTCCTATGAGGACAATGGTTTTGGCAGAACCACTTGATGAGTTGTTCATCTGAACTGAGGTGATGATTCCTTTTGCGGATGAAACCTAGATATTCTGAAGGGTTAAGTTCAACACTATCTGCCTGGTATTTTTCCTAAAGGCGTAGAGGGACTGAGGATGAATTCTCAATGCTGCTGACAGCAGTACTCATCTCATATTCGAGCCCTGGGATTGTGACGACATCGTGGTTGTGTATATATAGAAGCATGATCCACCGAGTGAGTGAAATTTTGTTCTCCACTAAGTTAAAATGACATCGTTAACATCATATATAGCAGTTGTAGTTTTCCGCTTCTGTTGATACATGTAAAACAACAGAGCTCTGTTAATGTTAATACTTCTTCCTTTTGTACAACGTCAAATTCTTGCCTCGACCGAACCCATCATGGACTGAGTGATAATAACAGTTGGATGATGTGGGTCAATATGGGACCTATAATCACTGGCGTGAATTTCAGTTGGTCTATGGTGGATGGATCAAGTATAGGCAAGAAAATTACCCTACATTAATAAGTTGTGTCCAAACGTTGTCTCGTTCTCTGAGCTGCACAGGACTAAAATTTTGGTATGTTTATGCATTGAAGGACACAAAAAAAGTAGATTCATGCTTTCAGTCACTTTAAATTGGTGGGGATGCGGAATAGTAGGTACTGTTAACTGATAAACTGCCTAATAGTTTCTTTTGTCCAATGACGGATCTGTCTCAGACTAAACGTACGATCAAAATGTGTGGGTAAAGTATTGGGCGAGAAGTTTTGGTTGATCAAGGATTCAAGATCCAATGCAGTTACGGCAATTTCGGCAACTAGATGTGGTTTTCCAATATCGGACTGAAACATAGATACGAGTGAGTGTTCCTGCATAACTGAATCGTGGTCCAGTACTGGTCCGGTCCTGGTCCTTGGGAGTGGGGAGGTCACTTGGAGAATTTTTTTGGTGTAAGCTGAGGCCGGCTGGCCGTCGATATCGCGAAAGATCATCGAAGTAAAGACAATACGGATTAGCTATTCATCAAAGTCATAGCCTATGTGATTATCCCACTTCAGCTTTGGAACCATAACACAAGATTTAGCTGTTTTGACTTCCAAGCTAAAGCTTCTGAGCATGTTTTGGCTGTTGACCTCACACGTTCCTCGTGCATTTACAACACCATCACCGTTCACATCCAAGTTGTTGTCCATCCAACTTTTCGATTATTGGCGTTTATATGCTTGAATTAGGCCCAAAAGCAACCAAAGGCCCGGAGAGACAAGACGAATTGGGCCTCTGGGCCTTTTGCCTTTGTTTAAATGGTGGCACCCGGGACCAAAATGACTCCCGGAGATACACTGCCCAGTGTCCCCCCGTCCCCACCACATGTTCGACGATATTCCTCAGTGAAAAGCAATAACGCCCTTTAACCGCCATTTTCAGCTGCCGAGCCAAGGAGATGTGGAGGCGCGTTGCTTCGCTTTCCTCGTTGATCTTCTCCTCTAGACAGCCTCTCCGTGGCCAGGTACTTCCGTTCCTATGCGACGACGCTTTTTAGTTTTTTTGATCTTTCGCGTCGCCGGTCGGGCCACTTTGTTCGATCTTTCAGCCCCCCGCATGGTGGCTTCAATCTCACGATCCCGAATTGGAAATGATAGTTCGCATGCGCGTACGTACCTGCTCCGACGATGATTATCGTCCCATCTGAAGTGCGTGTTGCGTTGCGTTTTTTTCTTTCTTTTCGCGCCAATTTGACTCGGATTTTGTCACGACGGAGCTTTGGGCGTCGCTCGGCACACGCTTGATCTTAATCCGCAAGCCTAACGTTTGACAATCGCACTGGTGGATTACGGAAATACGTTTTGCTAGAAAGCCTGTGAACTTGAGGAATACGGAGTTTCTGGAATGAATTTGGGTGATACGAACGGTAGGCACGCTCTTGTTTCTAGTGTATTAGCGAGGATTTGATGTGATCCGTGTTTGTAGCAGCAGCAGCAAGCAGCTGATAGCTTGAGATATGCCCGGGCTTCTGGAATTTGGGGGCATAAGCTTTTTCACTTTGTATGCTCACTTTGTTGTTCTCTTGGAATATGGATTCTCCATGTGATTTTTTCTTTTTGGACTTGCCTTTGGCTACCTTTAAGCAGGGAGCATATTCATTGAAGGCCCGGGAATTTTTCTGTGCGGAGCCCTTCAAGGTACTCGTTTACTCTGTCTAATTTGTTTGAGATGTTCAAATACTGGGTACATAAATTCGTTCGGAATTAGCGCCATCATTTTGAGATAATGCTTTGGATTACGTAAAAATTGTCTCCCGGTCAATGTCACTGGGCTGGTTCATCGTTCTTCTCATCTTCACCCTTAACTTCTTTTCATGTATGCGGAACATCTATGGCGTCATTTGTTCGTGCCTAATAGATATGGGACATAGGTATTGAAAAGGATCGACAGAGAATGCTGGTTGAATCAACTGATTCTCTCTCTTTCTTTAAATGCCTGATAGTTGACAGCAGATTACCACAGAATTTGCGGCTATTATATTGTCAATGCATATGCTTGATTTGTTGATTATTGCATTTCCCGTGTGTGTACTCCTCTGAGGTGGATGGGATACGCAAGAATCTTCACATGCTAGACTCAAAACTCATTTGTTCCAATTGTTGATGGCAATTCTTCCTTGGATGCAGGGGGAAGGTTGTCCGTCAAAAGAGAAAAATCTATTTATAACCTTTGTCCTAGGTAAGCTAGTGAAGAGCTCACTTTTATATATGTGCTCTTTTTCCTGATACATGCACATTGTTGAAAGAACAAAAGCGAAAAAGAAAGAAAACAGAGTAAGTAAGAAGAAATCTGAGGTAAGTCATTCTCATTCTGGAGTGGCACACTTTTCAAGCTACAATAAGAAGGAATAACACTGGAGAAGAATCGATAACCATAATAGCAGGACCAGCCTTAGCTAAACCGTATGGCAGCATTTGCAGTGGATTTTCATCTATCGTCCCATAACAATAGAGATGGGTCCCGGTGATTCATCTTGAAAACTTTGGATACTATATCATCTCAATAGCATGGTTGATATCCTGTCAAACCAAATGAAATGCTCAGACATAGTTATTGGATGTGTATGTTTTGTACTGTGTAGGTGGCCCTGGAAGTGGAAAGGGCACTCAATGTGCAAAAATCGTCGAGAACTTTGGATATACACATCTAAGTGCTGGAGAATTGTTAAGACAGGAGATTGCTTCAAACAGTGAAGATGGGTAATGTGTCTTATTCTCTATGTTAAAAATGTAGCGTTGATATTAGAAATGTTCTTGTTAATAAGTGCCCCTAGCTAGTTAAGTTAACTAAAAATCGAAATAACACTCTACAGATGCTTTGAAAATAGAACAATTACACATTTTGGTAAAGTCACTTACCTCAAATAGCAAATTTCAAATTTCCAAAGCAAATTTAATAAGCCTTAACAAAGGGACCAAAGGGGCTGACCACAAAAAAAAAAAAAAAAAAAAAAGGGACCAAGGGGCACACTTTAATATATTCCTATTAGTAATATTTGTACAACTTACTATTCAGGGCCATGATTCTTGACACGATTAAAGAAGGAAAAATCGTTCCTTCAGAAGTGACAGTGAAATTAATTCAGAAAGAGATGGAATCTTGTGATAATGGTAAGTTTCTCATCGATGGCTTCCCACGGAATGAGGAGAACCGCATAGCTTTTGAACAGATTGTAAGTTCTATTGTCCATTTTGTCTCTTAATGTCATCTGCTAAACAAACTTTTTCTTTACTCCTTTCATTGGAATTTTATTTGTCATTGAGACCTCTAAGTCAAATCAGGAGGATCTCCTTGAGTTTGTAGTCCATTCACAAATCTATTATGCAGACTAGAGATTAGGGGTCAAAGTCTTAACTAGGCAGATATAGTTTTAACTATTGACTGCGTCTTGAACTACAGATTGGAGCTGAACCAAACATTGTTCTTTTCTTTGATTGTCCTGAAGAAGAGATGATAGAGCGGGTTTTGAACCGTAATGAGGTGCTTGTGTTTTCTATAGTGATATTTCAGTTTGCAAAGGCAATATGGAATGGCTTTACTGAAAGTTTGCTTTCCGCAGGGCCGAGTGGATGATAATATTGATACAATTAGGAAACGCCTTAAAGTGTTTGCGGCTTCACATCATCCTGTAATCGAGTATTACTTGAAGAAAGGAAAGTTATACAAGGTAGTTATTGAGTTTTTAATCACAACCTTTTGGTTTTGCATAGAACACTAAGGAGCTTGTTTACGTTTTCCTGCACATAGTAAAACAGTATTTTGTCGAAGCATTTCCATTTTCATTTGGTAAATTAATTTCATGGTTGGGTTAGTATTTCTGCAAGATATTATTATTCTAGCACATTCATAGAATTCATTGATAAAGTTGATATAATATTGAGCGCAATGACGTAAAAAAATTCATATAGCCCATTGCACTTTATGGGACAAGGCTACAATTTGTTGTTGCGTTCATGGAATTCATTGCTTGCAGATTGATGCTATTGGAACGGAAGATGAGATTTTTGAACGAGTTCGACCTGTGTTTGCTGCATGTGAGGTGGGTTTTGTTTGGTCTGCTTCGCGAACTGGCTTTTGACATGGTTTATCTTCTTTCTTTTTTCACATTAGCAGTTTTCTTCAATTCCATGCGTCACCAAATGTGATTTTATTGCCCTGGCACCGTGCTTGGAAATTATGTCAGATAATTCTCTTTTACCTTTTTCTTGTTACAATGTCAGAGAATTCTCTGTCGAGCAACTTTGCAACTAACTCGTTCACATTCATTCTCATAAGTTGTTCATATTCCTTTTTTTATGGGACAACTGTATGCTTGCTGTTGGGACTCGTTCACACTTGTTCACACTCATAAATTGCAACGTACGAGTGTCTTGGCGATTGTCTTCAATGTATGATCTCCACGTTATGATTTCTAATGCTGGGATATGATCATTCTCTTTTTATCTGATGCAGGGAGCACAATGAAGCTTTGTCTGTGCTGTTTGCAAAGTTCCCAGCGGAGATCTCAGATTCTAATTTTTGGTTGATAAAGAGGCAGCTTTTGCCTCCAAGGGAGATTCTTCTTTCCTTGAAACTTCTTTCCACCGCATTTGTCACAATGGTTGTATATAGCCCTTGTTTAGACAAACTGCATAACGCTTGCAAGGTGTTTACCTTTGAAACCGGGTTAAAGAACAGTTGCCGGAACCATCCGGTAGTCTATGCAAGATGAATCGAGATACACACCTTTGCTACCAATGCTCACAATTTCTTTCAGATGAATTATGCTCAAATTCGATTCTATTGCCAGAGAAAAGTTTTGTTAGGCCAATTATGGGCCCATGAAGAGCTAGGCTGTTTTCCTTCATAACTTGCAAAAGCTAGCAGCTAAGACGAAAGGAGGACGATTCTTCTGGCCCACTGAATGATTGTCCTTTGTGCTCAATTATACACCCTCATACAGTTGGAGCTGCATGATGACATGGTTGGAGAGAGCTTGGAGCCATCGACCCAGACAGCAGTGTCGGAGCCACTAGATCATCCTATCCATTGCTATTTTGCTTTGCAATGCAGGCCTCGTAAAGTTGAGAAGACCCTTTCAATATGGAGGAGAGAGAGAGAGAGAGGCCACAGTCTGCTTCGGAAACCGGGGGACTACAGCCGCCGTACACATGACAAGTCCACAACAGGTCCGACAACTGTCTGTCTCTAATACGTATAAAATCCAAGCCTGCACTAGGAACAATAATTTTTTAGAAAGAGCCGAATCTAGATCTGTAGCTAATCCGACACAAACACCCCGGTGCTTAATAATGCAGCAAATGGGGCGATGACCCCGCATGAGTCAAATGCAGACAAATGTCTCCGAATTTATTCCGGGTTATGTCGGTAGGCAAATTTAACGGGCTCGCTTGCTCTCTCTCTCTCTCTCTGTTCACAACGTACCCAAAAATAATTGCACGCCATCTAGAAAGTCCGAAACATTTGAACGTCTCGACTCCTCAATTTTGTGCTTTGATTGGGGGCTGGCCAGACAGAAGACATCGTTGAATTTTTTTCTTCCCATTATAATATATTGGCACATCACCCAACACTCGTGCTTATTACTGTTTTTTCTTGGCTCTAGCCGTCGGGTCCTAGCCCATCTATGTTGAAGATTTGGCCCGTTTTTTGAGCCAATGACTTTTCTCAAGCTTTATCTTTTCCTTTATTTAATTTCGTTCCATGGAATCACTCTACTCGGTAGCCACGATAAAAAAAATGATTATAAGGTTGAATTCGAAACACCTTCTCATCTCGCCCCTCCGACTCTGTAGCACTTGGAAAAGTTATCGAGTGTCACATAGGATACGCACTAGCTTGATAAGGCAGAATAGCCAAAAGATATACACATAGTTATCCCATTAATAAAAAAAGTGGCTTTATGTAAAGAAAGACTATGTGAGTAGGTCGTAATTTAATAAATTGTATGCATAGTTTCTTCTTAGCAGGTGACAGTTTACATTACTTTCGTACTTGGTGGGACCACCGTGCGTGAAAGATCATAGACTCCCCGTCCTCTCACTATATATGCAGTGCAACCCTCGACCTCCCCATCTTACTCCAACCTCCAATTTCGCCTAAACAAAGTCATCTGAGAAAATGGCAAGACCCGGCCTTCTCTTCCTCCTCCTGGCCTCGACCTTCGTCGCATACTTCATCTCTTCCACCGCCGCCGCCACCCCGTCTTCCTCCTCCGCCGCCGGCACCAACTTCATCAAGGCGTCGTGCAGCGCCACCAGCTACCCGGCGCTGTGCGTCGAGTCCCTCTCGGCCTACGCCGACACCGTCAAGCTGAGCCACAAGGAGCTGGCCCAGGCCGCGCTGGCCGTGAGCCTGGCCAGGGCCCAGGCCACGAGGGACTTCGTGACCCGGTCGGCGAGGCTGAAGGGTCTCAAGGCCAGGGAGTACGAGGCGGTGAAGGACTGCCTGGAGGAGATGGGGGACACGGTGGACCGGCTGAGCAAGTCGATGACGGAGCTCAAGGGGATGGGGTCGAAATCCAAGGGCCAGGACTTCGTCTGGCACGTCAGCAACGTGGAGACGTGGGTCAGCGCGGCACTCACCGACGAGAGCACCTGCATGGACGGTTTCTCCGGCAAGGCCACGGAAGGGCGGCTCAAGACGTCCTTCCGGACCAGGCTCGTCAACGTGGCTCAGGTCACCAGCAACGCCCTTGCCCTCGTCAACCGCTTCGCCTCCAAGCACTGAGCTTTCTCGGGTCGGAGTCCTAAAGCGCCGTCGTCGCCGTCGTCGTGGTCAATGTTGTTGCTGTTTTAGCTTTGGCTGATGGTGAGAGTGAGAGAGAGTGTGGTAATGTTTTGGTCGTGTGTAAGTAATCGGTGCTCTGATGGTTAATGTAAGGTCACAGAGGGTATAAAATCACTACACTATAGTTTAAAGTGTGTTCTTAAATCCATAATCGTTTCTCGTCCATTCCCCAGCGACGAAAAAGTTAACCAAAATGATTAGCACTGGAGACTTGAATTGGTTGGATACTGGGAGAGATGGATTGAAGTTATTTCTCCGCCATTCTCGCACCAATTTCCGAAGAAGTTGGCTAAATAATGAACTACAAGAAAAGTCCACTTGATATGACGTATGATATGCAGCTTTGGCTGGCCATGCTGGGTCCACCTCACTTAAGAGTTCTCGCGGCTGTTTATGTGTTTGGCTTGCGGACTGATCGACATCATCGTGTCTGTCCAGCTCACCATCTACCCAACTTGAACAATTGACCCGGATTCTCATTTTATGTAATAAATTGAATGTTCACGAGGGTTACTACTGTATTAGGTAATCACCATAGGTGAAGCGAAAACTGATAATGGCAAGCACGTATAAGAATATTTAACCAGGATCTGCTATTCGGACAGTTTGGAATTGCTGGTCTACCGAGAAACTAATGGCCACGCTCAATTATTGATCCAACCAAGGTACAACTTTCAGTCGCACCCAGATAGAAAGATAGATAGAGATGCTTTTCGCGAACCATAAGTAAATATCGATCTTAATACTTTGTCGGTAATAAGAAAATGACGGAGCGGTCCGTGTGAATCACACGACAGTTAAGCCATGGATATTTTGATTTTATATGGTCTGCAAGTGCACTGATTCTATTATAATGTCTAGAGAGCGCCACGCAACGACGGTTACCCATTAAGCAACAACGATATCATCTTTAAACTCGGACCAGAAATCACTTACTATCAACAGAGAGATCATCATGTCATAACCTTAACTACGAATGGCTCGACGTATGATCATACATACAACGCTTGGTATATTGCTCGTGATTCATAACGAGCACTCCAAGTCGCACGTCGGACCGACGTTGGAGACATCATCCCCTCAATCACGGCTGAGGGCCGGGAACTGGTGGGAGTGTGAAAAGAGCGGAGGAGAAGAGAGGTCCACCACGTGGGGGATGACTACCGAATGGTCAGTAGGTCGTTGCCATAAACAGTAAGCCTGTACGACAGAAAGATGAAGTGTCGGGAGAGCAGTTGAGCATGGGGAAAGCAAAAGTCACATGCGTTTCCCTGACATTTTTGGGAATGCCGAGAGCATAGCTCTCGCACTGGCCCCACCCTCTTTGTTTTCTCCAAGACGAAATATCTGCCTTGCCTCCTCATCTTTTTTCCTTGGGTACAGCAAAATCTCTCTCTTTTTCTTTTTCTTTTTTTCTTTTTTTTTTTTTAAATTTTCCCCGAGAGTTGAGGTGAATATTTTCGTATTTAAATCAGTCATCGCCCGCCTTTTCATTTATAACTAAATTTATACGTGGGTGGTGTTTATGTCGGGCAATGGAACTCGTTTTAGTTTTCTTTCGGATTAATACCACGAAAAATCTTAAATTAATATATTCGTGATAAATTTATCTTAAATTAATTTTTTAATTATCAAAAGCCCTAAATTGGTACGCTTGTGATAATTTTATCTTTCACTAGTTTTCGTTAAATTTTACTATCAAAATTTTTGAGTTAGATAACACGTGCCAGTTGACTAGTGTACCAATTTAAGATTTTATCCTCTGTTTGTCACAAGTGTACCGGTTTATAGTTTTTCGTGATATTAATCCAATTTAACGAAGGGTAAATTTATCGTAAATGTACTAATTTGGAGTTTTTGGAGGTCGAAAAATTAGTTTGGAGTAAATCTGTCACAAGTATATTAGTTTGGGATAGATCTATCATAATATATTGATTTGAGGTTCTTCGTGGTATTACCCATTTTCTTTCTTCTAGTTAGCTTGGTTTTTGGCCGACTCCAACCACAAGAAACTTCACATTTTCCCACCACGAACTCTTTATGTTTGAGTTTCAAGTGTGGAAATCAAAGGGAAGTTTCATTTCGTACGGGCACCAAGAAACAGGGCATGCGGATGGTGTGGCTTTTCGTACAGAAATATGAATGGGGATTAGCTTTTTGACTAAGCGCACCATCACTAATCACAACTTTTGCCAAAAGAGCTTACTTTAGGCTATGACATGGTTGGGCGGTTCCGTCGATTTACATTAACTTTGGCCTAACTCTTTGGGTTTGTGATCGGGTCGGAGTTACGAATACAATTACCAATCGGTGGAGTGCGTTGTCCACGTAATTTCATGAAACTTCGTGGGATGTTTCACGATCACAATGTCCAGTTTACCAGCTAAGATATACTTCCTTACGATGGTGAAAAATCAAATCATGGGCATAGTAAGTCATCGCTCCTCAAATGTGTACCTTTGGATGTTTCGTCTTTCGACAGATTGTCTGATTTCTCTCTAGAGCAGGCCCTGGCCCGTCTGAAAAGAGTTCTCTAAAACTCAAAATGGAGGCCCATCGGATTGAACTTTCCCCACCGCCAACGGGGAACATTCCGTCGCCTGTGAACATCCCACCTAATCTAGTCCCACATGTATTAACGTCTCTTTTCTTTGGTTTGATTACATAAACAACTTAACACTAATTTTCTATGCTGTTATTGTATTTACCAGTAGACTAATTATGTCAAGAATGTCGTATTGGGGGAAAAGAAGGCACCAGGGGTCCCCGATTTTTTTTTTCAAATATTTTAATCAGATCGTCGAATTATTTTTTTTTTAGCAATTGAGTCCTTAAAGTATATTTATTTTTTTGTTTGGGTTGGTCGTTCCGTTGATATAAGGACGGAAATGCTGATGTGGACTAACAAGTAAGTGTCACATTAATGTTGACTAGATGAATTGGTGCTTACATGTAAATTGTAGGTGATGAACAGAAATAAATATGAAATATTTTAAATAAAAAAGAAAAACACACCCAAAGATAGAGAGAGGTGGTTGAGGGTGGCTTTGACAATGCCCATGCATCGACAAGGGCCGCCAAGCCTGCGCCGATTGTTGCCGAGATTAGGGTACCCCAGACATGTTTGGTCAGGTTGCATGACCCCGGTGCGGGCCAAATTTGGCCTAGGTTGCACCACTTGAGCCAGATTTGGCCCGGGGTTATGCAATCAAGCCAGGTGACTTGTGATCCTAATCATCAATTGCCGGGGTCACACGATCCTCAGAGTCGCCTAGTTGGGACAGCTTAAACCAGTCGATAAGAGTCTTTTTATTTTTTATTTTTTATATGAGGATAGGTAGAGAAGGGGAGAAGGAAACAATGCTAAAAATTAGGAACCTCTCCATCCCACATAATTGAATCTTAAGTTTAGATTCCTACACCATTCGACCCTTTGAATTTGTTTGATTCGAAGTTTCAAACATTAATTCATTCCTCCTTCAAAAATTTAAAATAGTAGTTTGTTTCTTTGTGAGATAATGATATAAACAGTTTCTGAATTTTGGTTTAATATGTAATGTAGCGCTGAACTTTAACTTAGGCTCCGTTCGTTTGCCGAAAAATATTCTCCTTTTGGAAAATATTCTCCCGGAAGTCATCTTCCTGGAAAATGTTTTCCTGGTTTAATATGTAATGTAGCGCTGAATTTTAACTTAATGTGTAATGTCATCCCTAAACTTTAAATTTCTTCAATATTGTTTCTGAATTTTTGGTACATGTTAAATTTAATCCTTGAATTATATGAAAATATTCAATATTATCCTTTTATTAATTAAAGTTCAGAGATAACATTAAACATTTTTATACAATTCGGGGACTAAATTGGACACGTACAAAAAATTCAGGGATCACATTGAATAAATTAAAAGTTTAGGGACGGTATCACTCATTGGCTTAAAGTTTGGGAAAATTACCAAAACAGTCCTAAACCTATTGTAATTGTGCCAATTCAGTCATAAACCTTTTTTTTGTACCAATTCAGTCCTAAATCTTTTGCATTATGGCATTTCAATCCTACCAATTTTTGCTGATGTTAGGCGGTGTGCGTGACAATTTTTAAATTTTTTTTTTTTGAATTTTTTATTAATTTTTTTCCTTCATCTTCTTCAGCCTCTAGCCAGTCGCCATGCTGATGTGGACTTGGGTGGCCAGCGAACGCTAACGTGGCAATTTTTTTTCGAATTTTTTTATTCATTTTTTTCTTTTTTTTTTCCTTCATCTTCTTCAACCTCCAGCTAGTCGTCGGACTGGCGACTGGCCAGAGGTTGGGGCCGGCGAGGTCAGCCCCACCGGCTGTTGGCGAGGTTGGCCTCGCCCAACAACGGCAAGGACGAGCCTCGCTAGCCGGTTGCTTCAAGTGAGGCCTCGTCCTCGCCAGCAACGGCGAGGTCGAGCGGCCGCCCTTGCCTGACCTCGCTAGTTGCGGGCCAGCACGGCCGCCCGATGACCTCGCCGTCGCTGGCGAGGTCGGCCTCGCTCGAAGCGACCGGCGAGGACGAGACATCACCAGATCTGGCGAGGCTTGTCTTCGCCGGCCGCTGGCAAGGTTAGCCTTTCCTAGGCCGCTGGCGAGGTCGGTCTTGTCTTTGATAGTTTTAGGACTGTTTTGGTAATTTTCCCGTTAAAGTTTAGGGATCACATTGAACAAATTAGAAGTTTGAGGATCAAATTAAACCAAAGTTCTAAGACCATTTGTATCATTTGCCGTTTCTTTATTTGTTTGCAGACGCAGAGTGTGCACTTCCGCTTGAATGTAACTAAGCATCCACGGTGTGTTCTTGAATGAGTAGGGTATATAGATGTTTATGGCCAATGCATGCCTCCTGATGTGCGAAGAAATTGGATTAGCATCCTGATACAGTTTGCCTTGTGGCTGGCATTCCAGCAATGCAGGATCCTTACCGCAATTATCATTGCTGCCGACAAATCTGGTCTGAGATCTTGAACATTAAACTTCTTGAATTTTGTTAATAGCTGGACTTGCACATGAGAGCTCCATCAACTTCAAATCATTGTAATGACACGTATATAGGATTTTCTTTCCATACTGCCAAAACTGCCAAATTTTTATGAGTGTTGGTACGTATCAAAAAATGTTGTTAAAATAATGATTGGTGGCTATTTTTTTTTTCGGGTAACTTGTTAATAAACTTACTAACACTTTTATGAAATAATCAACTTATATTTTAAAGTTTCCAAATTAGTAATATTTGTACTAACTTAGCGATTTTTATTTGCATAACTTGCTAAACCTTTGAATAAACTAACTCTTTTAGAAATTACAAACCTAGAATGATTTACCAACTTTTGTCAGATTAAAATACTAACAAATTTTGAGGTAACAATTTTCATTTGAGTTACCTATTGGCGTTTAAATGTTTTTAATTTACTATTTTTTAGGATTAATATTATGAAAAATCTCAAACTGGTACAGTTGTGACAAATTTACCACAAAATAATTTTTTGACCACCAAAAATCACAAACTGGTACATTTGTGACAAATTTACTCAAAAATAATTTTGTGACTACCAAAAACCCAAAACTGGTACACTTGCGACAAATTTACCCTTTGTTAAATTAGATTAATATAACGAAAAATCACAATTGATAAATCTGTGATAAACGGCAGGAGAGAACCCAAAACTAGTACACCCGTCAACTAACACGTGTCATCAAACTCAGTAATTTGATGATAAAATTTAACGGAAACTAAAAGAGGGTAAATCAGATATACCAGTTTGGGGTTTTTGGTGGTCAAAAAATTAGTTTGAGATAAATTTGTCACATGTGTACCAGTTTGGGGTTTTTTGTGGTATTAACCCTTTTTATTAATTGAGTTACCAAGTTTTATTTGTCTTGGTTAGTAACTCATTGTGGCTACCAACTCTGTTTAGAGATTACACCACCTAAATTAGTGTGATTTACCAACTTTACTACATAATACGAGGTTGCGAATACTCATTGGTGCTACTTATTTTTTACTTTTTCACTATAGTTTATGAACTTTTATGAGTAATTATAACATCCTCTGGTGTAATAAACACAAGTTTACACAAACGATTTTCTAAACCATTGATAGAGAGAGCGTCGGTTGTAATCCTTAAATCAATGATGGATAACTCCGCTTATTTAAAATTTCCTTTACACAGGCAGTGCATGGTCTAATTCTTCCAGCTTTTATTTGCATTTCTTAGTAATGTAATGCCTTAAATTCACCATTTTTTTTAGAAATTACCACATCAATTAAAGTGACTTTCCAACTTTTCTCCAAGTAAGTTACCAACTACTTTTGGATTACAACGTTAGTAAGAAAGATAAATAAAAGATAGTTTAAGATAACGAATATCAATAATTCGTAGGCTGTTAATAAAAGTTAGGAATTTCGTGAACCAATCGGTAAGTTACTAATAGGTTGCCGAAAAATCATGTGGCAATAAATTTTTTTACCAATAATTTTTTTTGACAAGTACCGATTCTTTCATAAATCTATTCGCATGTAAAAAAATTTATTTATTTTTTAGGAACGGAACAATAGAATCATCTATTGGATGCTTCTCACAAACAATGAGAGTTTGAGGTTCTACGGAGCACTCATAATGTATCATTTCCTTGGGATGATCACCAGACTTGGATGGTACTAAGAATCGAGTCATAGGTTAGCAATACTGGGCAACGGTTGGGTTTTCTTTTCATGCACTTAACGTAGCTATTTTAATAGTGGTCATCCCACTTTTTATATCTCTCAAGTTATTTTTACATGCTCGATTTCTTTCAAGAACAGGTCTCTCTTCTCCTTACCAAGCTTTCGATAAGATTAATTACTCTGATTAAAACAGCCTTAGCTAGGAACAAGACAATTCCATTCCATGGTCCCACACACGTTTTCTTTCTTTGATCCACCGTGGATGTACGAGATTGAGAGACACAAAGAGGCGAGCAGTACTCAAGGACAATCAATTCATAGGGCATGATCTACCAGGAAAATGTCGATTGTCAGTTGAATGATTATTGACATTTTCTTGCGAAATGGAAGGGAGCAGTCCTTATGTGATAGAAGATAATTATAGCAAGAGAGGAAGCGACATAAACTTTGTAATATGAAAGACCATCAATAAATATTAATATTTGAGGCTGTTGATGAGGGACAGCGCATTGCTAGTGATCCTGGCAACGTCCACAATGCTGCTCCGAATCTGGCTCTTCACGCCCGCACTCACCTTCCTCCCGGTGGACCCGTCCGTGCACGTGTTCTCGTCCGTGATCGTGGCGCTCACCCACGTCTTCACGTTAGCCATCTGGAACTCCGCCTTGTCCTTTGCCGTTGATGACGATGGCCCTCCGATCCGGGCCATGGCCTTGATCGACTGCTTGAGCTCGTCGATGGAGTCGCCGAGGTTCTCAACGCAGTCTGCGACGATACCGGCCTCGGCCTTGGTGAGGCCTCGTTGCTTGGAGAGGGCGGTGGCGAGGGAGGAAGCATTGCGGGCGGCCTGGAGGGAGACGGAGAGGGCGCAGTTACAGAGCTTCCAGGGGTTGGAGCGGACGACGGAGGCGTAGGAGGAGAGGTACTGGTTGCAGAGCTTAGGGTACGTGGTGGTGCTGCATGAGGTCTTGATGAAGTTGGAATTGTTGTCATTGCTGGAGTAGAAGGAAGAAGAAGAAGCAGCAGATGTGATTGCACTCATGTTGGTGACCAAGAGAAGCAAAATGGCAAGAAAATGGAGGTTGGAGGCTTCCATCTCTCTCTCTCTCTCTCTCTCTCTCTCTCTCTCTCTCTCTCTCTCTCTGCGTTGGGTATGGAGATCAAGATACAGATGTGGGCGGTTCTTATATGAGAGTGCTTCAGGTTGATTTTTGGTGGATTTGCATCTGGAACAACATTCAGTTTTGAAAGTTGTACTGTGAGAGAACGTGCATGTGACAGTGGCCGATAAGTAAGCTCGGTTTTAGATTCTTTGCACATGCTACGGACGATTTTAAATTAGCCTGTGATTCGATTTTAACGGTATGTTTTGCGCCTCGACTAGCACGAAATCTCAAGTTTAATTCTTACTCAACACAATCATTACGGGTTAAGTCATGGTTGTGAATCCTGTGGTCCGTACGTAAGTAAACTATTTTTCACCAAATCAAGAATTATTAATCCGGTGCGAAAACTTATCAGCGTATTACTTGATGGAAGAAAAAAAAATGGGGGGTATCACAATTTGAAGTGTGAAGTCACATGTGATAGTGGGCGATAAGTAAGCTCGGTTATAGATTCTATGCACATGCTACATACAATTTTAAATTAGTCGTGATTGATTTTAGCGGTATGTGTTGTATCTCGACAAGCACGAATCTCAAGTTTGATTCTTACTCAACACAATCATTTCGGGCTAAGTCATGGTTGTGAATCCTCTAGTGCGAACGTGAATAAACTATTTTTCGAAAACTTATCAGCATGTTACTGGATGGAAGGAGAGGAAAAAAAAAAAAGGAATATCACAATTTGAATTGTGAAGGTCAAGAAAATGGATGAATAATAAGTATCCACGCACGTGCCGCCTCATGGTTTCCGGGGTCTACAAGGGGAAATGTGAACGAAAGTGTGAAAATGGGAGTGAATGTCCACTGATCTCATTGTTGATCTCAGCTTTCATATTTTGTGGGGTTGGACAAACGAATGAATTGTTTGCGGCCGAAAATCCCCTTCAAGGAAGGCTAAAAAAATCAATATTTAAGATAGGTCTTAGAATTTACAAGTCATTATTGGAAGACATGATTTTGGTAGCAAAGTAATTTGGTAATTTAGTTCTAAACAGTGATCCGACTTTCAAGTAGCCTATAATTTGACTTAGGAGGGATGCTTTCCGTATGTCGAACTCGGTGTCCTAGACGGGTTCGGAACTATGGTCATGTTGATAGGGTGATCCAAATTTCGAAAAAACGAACGTGATGCATGAAATAGAAGGAAAATCACTCTTTTAAAGTTTGCTAGTTCATCTAGTTGATAATAAGCAGTTTAGGGAAAATCGAGTCATTCACCACCATAGATAAACTTGACGATCCTTCATCGATCATATATTAATGATACAGAATGAAGGTTGAATTCTAAAATTGAGTCGTTATTATTGTAAGTCGAGAGAATCCATGTAATTAAAAGGAATGATAGCCCGAACTAGAAGCTGTATGAATACATTTCACGCACTGTGATTGATTCAATTCAAGGGAGCATACGCAAAGTGAGTGCACACGATATCAATCTTCTTAAAAATGGGAAAGCTACACGTTTGGACACGCTTCAAGTACCGCAACAAGCTGCGAAAGAGAAGGGAATGACAAAGTCAAACGTTTGGAATCGCGGGCAAAGCACCGCACATGCCTCCGTAGATCGCTGCACGAAGGGAGGCCGGTGTTCCCGGTGAATTTATGATAGGTTATGTGGCCATTACGCGTTGGAAAATCTGTTATGAAAAAATATGAATAAATATCCGAGACGTGCAAGTACTGTCTTAAGGCTAATTCCGTTCATCGAAATGTGAAACTCGGTGTGATAGACTCTAGCGGCTATCTCCAAGGATATAACAGATCTTCCTTTTTACTTTGTACCGAATAAATAGATGGAATAACAACAACAAAGTAATATGTAAAACCCAGCAAATAAATGGAAAGAAAAAAGAGAATTTCTTGTTTTTTTATATGTTTTGATTGTGATTTGGAGATTTTCTTTATAGGCAAATGGAAGCAGAAGGTTAATCAAGAAACAAATGAAATTAGATGTTACAAAGCCGTTAAAAAACGATAGCTTTTATATTTTCAAAATTATTGAAATATCTACCAATCCTTCACATATTTCAAAAAATTTTGAAAAATAAGGAAATATAAGAGCTGGGGTTAAACTCAATGAAATGTAATGCATTGAAACTGGTGCCCTTTGGGCTATGAACCATACCTAGAAAGAATGATAATTCACAAAATCATCGGTGAAGTTTGATACTTTTATGAACCAAGAATTTCTTGTGTGAATTATAATATTCACAAATCACATTAAACCCCCATAAATTTTGTTGTTCAACGTGGTCGTATGCTATCAAGCCATGCGCGTGCCTGATTTATTCATAAGTGCTCTAGAAATTTTGTCAAAATTCTCATAGAAGCGACCCCACTTCACATTTACATAAGTGATTTAATCAAGTGTATTAAGCAATTTAATACACCACCAATAATAGCTATGTGTTTTATTAATTGCGTAGCTCAACCTCTCTTCCATTGCAATCTTACACTTTTCTCACCTTACTAGGGACCATAATTTTAAAAGTGCATCATTAGATCAACAAGTGATTTGTTATTACCTATATGAAACTAATTCATGGGATCGCCAATCACATAGGTTGGGTTACCATCACTATTAATTTTCCTCAAGTGGCTTAAGTTACATTCCACTCGATGTATAATCAGAGGATCGACTGAATTCACTTCTAACTTCATATAATCAATGGACATAATTCCATCTTTAAGCAATTGCTTTACCACATCACGTCTTAATTAAATGTGTCTCTTTTTACCATTGAAACTTTCATTCTTTATAATGGCTATTGTCGCTTGGCATTCACAATGTCTAGAGACCTAAGGTGTCAGTTTCATTCTTAAAGGTATATCTGCTAAGAAGTTTCTTAACAACTCAGCCTCATTTCCAGATGTGAGTTTGAGAAAAACTTTCCCTATCCCAAGAATTTGAGCAGTTCTCAAATCACCAAGATAAATAATATCTTCTCCTTCTCGTACTGGAGTGGAGGCGGATAAGGCATTTTATTTGTACACAAAATTGGCTTGAAAACAACACCTAGATTTACCATCTATTCTTTCACATTGACCACAATATTGGCTTGAGAAATGATCGCAACAATTACATCATTAGAATCATTTGTTTTAACCAAGTTGACTTTTGGTTTAACATGATTGTCATTTCCCCCACAATTTTATTGGCAAAAGGACACTAGAAGTGCCATAACTTGTGTACGGCGATCACTTTGGTGCCATAACTTTTTTTCGAATCACTTTGGTGCCAACTTTTTTGAAAAACGATCATTTTAGTGCTAATGCTGACGTGGCTCACCGGAAATCCGATGTGGCGCTGACACGGCTCGCCGGAGAGGTCCAGTCAGCATTAAAAACAAAAAACGACGCCGTTTAGCCCGCTGACGTGTACATTTTTTTTTTAAAAAATAAATTATATTAAATAATAATAATAATAAAACCTGCAGCAGCGGCGAGGGAGCCCTTGCCGCTGCTGCCGCCAACCCACCATCGCCGGAAGGGTGGCGGTGGTGGGCGCGTGGTCGGCGGGTCGCCTGCCCCTGGGGCGGGCCCGGCGACCCTCGTTGAGCCCGGCGAGGGTCGGATCGCGAGGCGAGACCTCGCCGTCGCGACCCGTGACGGCGAGGCGAGGTCTCGCCTCGCCGGATCCGGCCCTCGCCGTCGCGACCCGGGTGATGGCGAGGTCTCGCCTTGCCGAATCCGGCCCTCGCCGTCGCGACCTAGGTGATGGCGAGGTCTCGCCTCGCCGAATCCGGCCCTCGCTGGGCTAGGCGAGGGTCGCCGGGCCCCGGCCAGGGGCGGCGATCCTCTCTGACCATTGCGCCTACCACCGCCGGCCCTTCCCGGCGGTGGTGGGTTGGCGGCAGCAGCGGCGAGGGCTCCCTCGCCGCTGCTGTAGCTTTTTTTTTTTTTAAATTAAAAAATTCGAAAAAAGCCACATAATTTCCACGTGTACAAGTCAGACCATTTTTTTTTAATATAAATGCCATGTTAGCTTTTTGGTCGGAATTTTGGACGGAGTCACTAAAGTGATCTGTTTTCCTCCGACTTGGCACCAAAGTGATCCGAAAAAAAGTTATGGCACCAAAGTGATCGCCGTACACAAGTTATGGCACTTCTGGTGTCCTTTTGCCCAATTTTATTTGGCTGATTTCCAAGTTACAACACCTCCACAAGAGGTGAACATGTATCCAATAGTGGATTTTATCTTGTTTGAATCTAAGATCTAATTAGCATCACCATATTATTCTGATACATCGAGGAATTTGCTATATAAAATGCCATTGTTTTGGTGGTTGCTTTAGACCACTTAAAGATCTAAGGAAGAATACATCCCTCAGGTTACGCTATGTAAATTCTTCTTTTAAATTTCAACCAAAAAAAAAAAATCTTCTTCTAAATCAATACACAGCATTATACATGTCCATCTCATTGAACATGTTTATGCACCTTGAATAACTTGAAAATCCACCCCAACAACCTCTTACTCGGCGTATTTCTAAATCAAAATCGACGTGTTCAAGCTATGAAAATGCAACTATTCAGCAAAGAAGCGATATAAATTCCAACTAACTTCCTCCTACGTGGATATATTTTCTTATATTACCAAAATATTTCCAAATGAGACCAAACCCTCATTATTTGAACAAAAATGCATACGAACAGCAAGCATGAACACCTATCAAACAAATTCAAACCATGGACAACTCAAATGAACATGAATCCAACCAATTCAAGACATGAACATCAATTGTGATGACGAACTCAGCAAGTGCTAATCATGGACAGGATATGTAGCCATGAATCCAATATATTTAGAACATGTACAGCAACAAAACGTAGTAATTTAGTATAATTGAACCATGTACATCACTATTTAATCAAAAGGAGAGTAGTTCGAAGCTTCGAGGATCAACTATATGCAATCTCTGACTACAATTCTCATTGTCACTTATGAAAAAGAACTTG